AAAAGTGATTTCATTCTTAAAACCTTAATTTGTTGTAGTGTGTTATTGTTTTGAAAGAAAAGTACATAAAATGTTCAAAAACTCAAAAATAACTTCTTTTTTTTTTATTGGCGAACTCGAAAATAACTTTTTTGAATTTCCTAAAAAGTTAGTTGCTTTCAACGACTTTATTCGTAAACAATTTTGAACAGCAGTCACCAAATAAGTTTTTTACTTTTTTTGTTGTAGAAAATGAAAAATGAAACCAAGTAGGCCCCCTTTTTTCTGGGGGAATTACAATTCAGTGTACTTTCAAGAAAATAATTATAGATTCATTAAAAAAAATGTAAAACTTTAATTATTAATGTTGATAAAAAATTTCACTAATCTGTAACTATTTTTTAAAAAAATACACTGATATGTAATTTTTCCTTTTTTTTTTTTTTTTTTTTTTTTCTCCTTTTGGTACACAAATCCGTTCACAAATCTAAGAATTGATAACAAGTCCTTGATTGTTTGTTGTCGCAGTGGGCAAGTTTATGCAATGCTTTCTTAGTAGAAGCAAAGTGGTTTGACTCAGGGCACTTGCCAAAACCAGAAGAGTACTTGAAGAATGGTGTGATTAGTTCAGGGGTACATGTGGTATTAGCACACATGTTCTTTCTATTAGGTCACAACATAACCAAGCAAAATGTCAATCTTGTGAATGACAATCCAGGCATTGTGACTTCTACAGCTACAATTCTTCGTCTTTTTGATGATTTGGGAAGTGCCAAGGTATCAATAATCTCTATCCTTTTTCTTTAGTTCCTATGATTTGTCTATCACTAGTTTGTCATGTGGTATGAAAAGTCGAACTTTAAGTTGATCAATCATATAAGCTTTATTCACCACAATTACTTGATACATATGCGCAAAAAGAAAAAATTATGTGTATTCAATGATTAAGACCAAACTTCAACTATTATCCTGAAAAAAAAAACTACTCGGAACACATGAAGGTTGTACAGAATGTTAGACTTCTCCTATGTTGCATTCATAAGCCATAAAATAAATAAACAAATTAATAAATAAAATAAAAAAAAAAAAAACTTACTCTATATACTCATTGTCAATTGATTTTAAGTTTGATATTTTAACAAAGTACAAAGATGGGTCTTGGATGGTCTCAATGAGTCGAGGAGTCTCTGCCCAGTCTATTATCTTATCTCTCATCTCTCAATTACCTCCGCATGCTAAAAGTTACTATATTAATTACTAATTGATTTTGATTTGGATGAGTTAGACACTTTAAATGACATTTCTTAAGATTTTAACTCATATAATACTTAATTATTTTTTTATTATCAATAATTCGTTAGTTATTTGAATGTAAAAAAAAAAGGATATTATCATTCCTTTTATACTAAAATGTATATGTCTTTATTTATATCAAAAATATAAAATTAATTATATTTTTTTAAACTTGGTGAATATAATTTATCTAAATTTTAATCTTCATAGCTAAAAATACATGACCATATGAATTATTACTGGAAAAAAATAAAAAAAATAAAAAACAACTGCTCTTCAAAACTGATCCTAAATTTTATAATCAATAATTCTATAGACACAGAATTAATGGGTACCAAAGATGTCAGACAATGATACATAGTACATACCCTACTACCAATGAGGTCACCATGGATGTCAGATAATGACACATAGTACATGCCCCACTACCCATGAGATGGTTCCCCTCACTTGTTCAACCTGTATTTTATAAAGTCAATTATTTGTGGAAAATTATTAAAATTCTCAGTGTAGGACGTGTTTATACTCTTTAACTAACCCAATTAATTATTATTCAATATGTCTTTTCATATTCTTTAATCACTCAACACAATACCTCAACTATCCATATTCTCCACCAATTATAATACTATAGAATATCACGTGTCCACACTCCAAAATTAATCTAAAAAAATGTAGAGCATTTTGATTTAATAAATCCATTTTGAAACCTTTTTTAGTGATCCAAATTGTTTACTATTTAGGCTTTATTTCATAGAATATTCATGTAAAAAATTAAAATGATTGAATATCAATAATTATATATTTGAATTATATTTATTTTACAAAAATAGATGACAAATATAATTTTAAAAATAACTATCCATTTTTTGTAACAGAATTTTAATTCAAACTTATAGTTACCGATGTTTGATTATCTTTATTTTTCGTATGAATATTCTACTTAACGAGTCTTACAAAGTGGACAGTTCAGATCATCAAAATCAATCCTAAAATGAGTTCACTAAGCCCAAACATTCTTAAATTGAGATGACCAACTTGAAACCCTTCTTTTTCATTTCTGTCAAGATGGTCCATCTGGGATTGTCTATTTCAGATTTAATAAAGCTTTTCCCACTACTTTAAATGACAGGATGAGAATCAAGATGGCAAAGATGGGTCCTATGTACAGTGCTACATGAAGGAGAACAATTGCTCCTCAGTTGACACTGCAAGAAAGCAAGTCATTCACATGATATCACAAGCATGGAAGAGCCTCAACAAGGAATGCCTATCTCCAAATCCATTCTCACCAGTTTTCACAAAGGGTTCTCTTAATATTGCAAGGATGGTTCCTTTGATGTATAGTTATGATGACAAACAAAACCTCCCAGTCCTTGAGGAGTACATGAAGTCTATGTTCTATGATAAATTACCTTAGGTGAGTGAGCATTGTTAGATGCTCTGCAACTTCTTCACTGTTGATGCTACAAAGCTAGCACCTGTAATGCTCATAAACTAGCTGTTTGGTGAGGAATAAGTGTATAATCCAACAAGATGCAAGAAAAATGTAGTAGTTATGTTACAAGGTAAAAGATGTTGTTACTTCCAATCTACTAAGGTTCTTAGTAGTGTTTGAATCTAGGATTTGAAAAAGAATTTGTGGAGGTAAGTGTGAAGCCTCTATTTCATTCATTTTTCTTTTCTATTCATAAATCTCTTCTCAAATCCAAGATTCACGCACAGTCTATCTGTATCATGGCTTAAATTTATGTCTTGGATTCAAAATGCAAAGAAAAATGACACTATCAGAATATTTCAACTAAAGAAAATGATAACATTATAACTAGATAACAGAATTGCTATCTAAACAATTTTTCAGTCAAGGATGCCAAAAGATATAAAAATCATTCATTGTGACTTCTCACATTGGGCACAACAATCTTTTCTTCCATCAATCCTCACCCAATCACCTAAATTGCTAACTAAACAAATTTTCAGACAAGGAGGCCAAAAGATACGAAAATCATCATTACTTCTCACATTGGGCACAACAATCTTTTCTTCCATCAATATGCCCACACAATCACCTTCTCCCTTCACCTTCTCTGCTTCATTGAGAAAGGAATCTGTGTAGTGTAATCAAAACTGGTCATATTGTTCCTCTATTGATCAAGAATTTCGATTTTTGGGAAGTATCATAATCATCCAAGCACCTATCACTCCCATAAAAAAATAAAAATAAAAACAAATAAATAAAATCAAGAGATGGGGTGTTAGGTGCATTTTGCATTTTAATATTAAAATGCTTAAATAATATTTCTGGAGTATATTTGTCAATACATATTCCAAAATATCTATTGCATATAAGCTAATCAAATTAGGCTCGCTCTTCAAATGTAGCTAGCCTTGAAGAATTTTGTTAATATAACTATTGTAATAGCTAGCCCATTGGAGTGACTAAAATATGCTAATGCCAGTTATAATAGCTAACATGCTTCATTTAAAGAGGACCATAGAGATGCTCAAATTAGGCTCTAAATCCATTCTTCTCCATCTCATCAATCATTGCAAGAATGAAACCAAAGGAACACATTTCAAAAAAATGCTTTAATAAACACTGTCGGGCTTAACCAACTTCTCTAATAATCTATCAGAAGCTTGCTAATTTCAAATTCATGCACGCTGCGAGGAGGGCATTTAAAGATTTGACGGTGTTCACAATTCAATTGGGGTATCTCATCATTTGAAGAAGCCGTCTTCAAATGCAGGAGAACTTTTGTGCAGCAAGGAGGCGGCTAAGTGTGTTTCTGATAAGCTTTGAGGCCAAGGTGGCGAACGTGGCCAGATTCAGAGACATTTTTAAAGATTGGATTGAAGAAAATCTCTAGTTATGCAATCTTCTTGTTGAAATCCTAGAATGGTATCAAGTTAGAAATTCAATTGTAATGTGTTTTGTTTGAGGAAATTTGAGTGTTATAGATTGATTGTATGTTGATTGGTATCAACTACGTATTTAGTTTATTTTGGAACCTCCTTTGGTTCCTGATTAGATAATAGGTCATGTATTGGGGTTTTAGGATATATTTGATCATATATTTTATTAGGGATGTTCTTGTCAGGTGTCTGTTGCCCATTGTTTGTAAGGCTGGGGCATGTATGCCCCTTGTATGTAAATATTTTATTTCTTTTATTCAAACTCTTAACAAAATAAATATATAAATAAATGTCATACATAAAAAATATGGAGAACACCCAAATTTTTTGACATCCAAACAAAGTGATACCATGCAATATGTGTGACAAAAACTATAAGTCAATTTACAATATATACAGTAGCTTGTGACATAATACATTTCCTTGGACTGTATTCTTAATTTGGTTTAGTGTCAAAGACAGATAAAAGAAAAATATATCACATTTCCTTGAACTGTATTCTTAATTTGCTATATGTTGGAAGTCTAAAAAACAATTCAAACTCTTAACAAAATAAATAAATAAATAAATGTCATACATAAAAAATATGGAGAACACCCAAATTTTTTGACATCCAAACAAAGTAATATCATGCAATATGTGTGACAAAAACTATAAGTCAATTTACAATATATACAGTAGCTTGTGGCATAATACATTTCCTTGGACTGTATTCTTAATTTGGTTTAGTGTCAAAGACAAATAAAAGAAAAATATATCACATTTAAGCAAACTAGATAACTGCAATGAAAAAAAAAAACCTCACTATAATATATTCCAGGAAAGGCATTCATCTAAATTTTCAATTAACTTGAGAAAAATAATAATTATTAAACCTTCACAGCTAAGAAAAATTCCTTGCCTCTTCAACCATCATTCAACCACCACAAGAAAGACATTCGTTTTAACTAACAGGAAGGGCATAGCATAGAAAGATCAAACAAGAAATATAAAAGGCAATAGCATTTGTCCAAATGAAAACAACTAGCAGGAAGGATATAACGTACAAAGATCAAACAAGGAGGCAATAATAACACTACTTGTCTGAAGGTAATTGTAGTTTATAGCGAGAATAATTATTCGACTTCCCCATCTGCACAAGCTTCTTAGCTTCTTCAATCTTGGATTCTTTAGCCAACCCATCTACCACAAGCTGCAACACTGGCCCATTGACAACAAGGCTTCGCCGTTCAAAGATGTCCTTGCAGAGTTCGAAAGCCCAATCAAGATCACCCTTTTCACAGAGAAACGGAATAAGGGTCCCATAAGTGGCTCTATCTCGAACACACTCACTTTTTTCCAACTCTCCATACCACCTCTTAACCTCCTCCAAATTTCCATCCTCACAGAAGCCCTTAATCAAAGCATTATAACTGAACACATCAGGTTTCAACCCCTTAGTCTCAAATTCTCTAACTAACTCAACTGCTTCCAACATTTTCTTCTCAGAAACCAATCCAACCAACTTAGCATTGTAACTTCTAATATCAGGAACCAAACTTTTTTTCTCCATCCGAGCCCAAATCTTCTCGCCATCTGAAAACCGATCATCCCCATAAAATGCATCAAGAAGTGTATTAAATGTAATCAAATCAGGCTCCAAACCATTCTTCTCCATCTCATCAACCATCGAAACAGCAGAATCCAACGAACCCATCTCACAAAACGCCTTAATCACCGTATTATACGAAACAACATCAGGTTTAACAGCTAAAGTCTCCGGCAATTCACGAAAAAACCCATCAACCTTATCGAATTTCCTCGAATTGACACAAGCACCCAAAAGGGCATTGAAAGATTTGACAGTGCGATCACATTTATAGTCAGGCATTTCGTCGAACACCTTAGAGGCTTGGTCGAACATGCCCGATTTCCCATAAAGTGAAATGAGTCGAACAGCGAAACCCTCTTTGGAAATGTCTCTGTACTTCTTTTGGTCCTCGAGGATTTCTTCGATCCAGCGGAAGCGTTTGGCGGAGGCGAGGCGGCGAACAGTGGATTCGTAGACGCCGGTTTTGGTTCGGAAGCGATCGGACTCGGAGGATTTCTTGAATTTCTCGACGAGTTTCTTGAGGTTGCGCTCTTTGTAGAGGTCGTTGGAGAGAGATCTGACGGTGTTGGGATTGAGTTGGGGAGGTGTGGAGGAGGAGAAAGAAGTGGCGAAGGTCCTGTGGATGAGGCGAGAGAGAGAAGACATGATTGTAGTCAATGAAGAGGTATGGAGCTAACGAGGGTTTATGGCTGCAGGTGTTTATTGATTGGAAGTTTTGCAGAGGTTTAGGGTTTTGGCAAAAGAGATGGGTATTCCTTTAAAAAGTCAACACGGCGTCCTGAAATTATGTTTTCGTTTGGTTTGTATTTCTGAAAAAATTTTGAGAAATTTTTTACAAATAAATTTTTAAAAGTAATCAAACTAAACAAATTTTTTCAAAAAAATTTCTCAAAACTTGTAAACCAAACAAGTTTTTCAAACAAATCTCTCTCTCACACACATCAAATCAATCACTTTTTCCAAAACTCTCTCTCAAAATAATTTTTCAAAACATCTTTTGAAAAAAACCAAACCAAACAACTTTTCGTACTTTTTATCTATAAAACACATCTCTCAAACACAAACCAAACATACCCTATATTTCTTCCTATATTTCTTGCGTTGTCACGTGTGTATTTTTTTAATTTAAAATTAAAAAAAAATTAGATAGATAAGTAGAGGGGATTTAAACCTTAAATTTCTATCAAATGAATAACACTCTTACCACTTGACTAACACACAATATATAATAATTTTATTATTTTATTTTCATTTATTTGAATAGCACATGTATCGCATGTGCCAACTGCTAGTATAAATAAAAGAGTAATTATAGGAACCTACGTTTCTGAAGGGGTTATATTTTTAGGTCTTTATTTATAAATTTTGAAAATTTATTTTTCCTCTCAAATAATATCAAAATTATGCTTGTGAAAATATTTCACTCATTGAATGCACACCCCCACACCCTAAAAAAATTCTTCTTCCAAAAACTCTAACAAAACCTATCAAGAAGAAGAAGAGTCAATGTGATTATTGTCTCTGCTGTCTCATCCACTATTTTCATAGTTGGTATGCTCTCTCTCTCTCTCTCTCTCTATATATATATATATATATATATATATACATAATTTTTTAATTTTCTCGTAATAATTTCTTCTTTTGCAAGAAAAAAATTTATAATAATTGGTTTGGTTGGTTTTGTTTATGGATGTTATAAAATTGTGAGTTTAGCAGAGAATTACGCAGCAACACATGTGATGAATGAATAAATTTTGAACCTGATAATAGATTTGGGCTATTTTTGATAACTTCGACAAGTGTTAAAAATTTTGACCATTCAATGTGTTAAAAAAATTTAATGTTCGAGCTTGTATTCTCGAACTTGAAAGTATGAAAACTTCTGCAAGCGTAAACAATTTTGACCATTCGATATATTAAGAAATTTTCATGTTTGGACTTGCATTCTCGAACATTACTTATTTGTTCGGGAATGCCTTCCCAAACAACTAAGTAATGTTCGGGCTTGTATTCTCGAACTTAAAAAAATGAAAACTTTTACAAGCATTAACAATTTCGACAGTTCAATGTATTAAAAAAATTTCATGTTTGGATCTGCATTCCCAAACATTACTTATTTGTTCAGGATTCAAGAACAAATAAACAATGTTCGGGCCTGTGTTCTCGAATTTCGATGATATGTTTGAGAGTTCAGTCCCGAACATATGATGAACATATTTTATTGTTTTTGTCATTTTTTTTTTTCAAGAAATTTACCCTGGCAATGCCATTCTCTTCTGAGCTAAGAACAGTATCAAAGGTATGAACCTCCTCTAAGCTAAGAACAACATCAAAGATATGAACCCCTTCTAAGCTTTTATTGTTGTATTCCTCTCGTCTTACGGAGTTGTAGTTACCAAAAAAACTTCCACTCATTGTCATTGTCGGAGAAATGTAGGTAGTCAAATGGTTGCCACAGTTACTGTCGAAATATTGTCGCCAAAGAGTTTTCAAGGTTTTGAGAGTGGGATGGTTTTGAAGGTGGGATTTAGGGAAGATGGATGGGTGGTGATGGAGGTGAGTGCTCTCATAACCCCTACTTCATGATGTAATGAGTGTGTAGGTTTAATTGTGAGATGGGATGTCCCAAAATTAATGATGTCCTTTTAGTAATTTTATTTGAGGTTATTATTTTAATAAAAAAAAAGTTAAAAATTGGGGGGTTCAAAATAATTTATGAGGAGCTAATAGCAGCACTCTTCTGAAATCACATTTGGACTGTTTGATGAAGTTTATCAGACTTGATTATAATTTTTTTTTTTTAATTGTTAGCATTTGTGTTAGATTGGTTGGTATTAGGGTGTTCGCGGTTCGGTTTTGGACGGTTTGGTTTGCGGTTTGGACCTGCCCGCATATGTGCGATTTGGGAAAAATTGAACCCGCAATCGCCCATAGTGCGGGTTGCGGTTTGTGCGGATAGGGTTCACAGATGTGCGGGCGGTTTGAGAATTGGACTTTTTTCTTTAAAAATTTATTTTTTGGACCTTTTTTTTTTTTGGCTTCCTGTTTTGTAAATATTTATTTTGGACAATTTTCTCTCATTTTCTAAAATGCTCAACATTAATAATTAATGAATTAAAACTTATAAAATTAAAAACACAACAAAATCAATTCTTAATACTAGCAAATCATTTAAAATCCTAACCTTTTAAATAAAATCATAAACTAACGCAATCACATTTTTCAAAATCCTAAACTAAAGCATCAAAATCATTCACTACCCAACAATACAATTAAAGTAAAATCATTCAAAATTCAAAAATATTTAGGATTGGATGAATGAAATCAATGGTCCAGGTTAAAAAATAAATAAATAAATAAATAAATAAAAAGTCTAAGTGCGGGCATGTTCTTGCAGGTGCGGGTAAAACCAGCAACCCACAATAATGTCATATTCCAAACCACGTCCGTTCGCATTGTGTCTGCGAAACCGCCCATTTGTATGCAGATCGGTTCCGGTTGGGCGGTTCGAATAATCCTATGTCCAACCCTAGTTGGTATAATGTATGTTTGTAGCATATTCGGCAGAATAATTTAAATAAATTTAAAAAATTTGTTTATGTAAGCTCGCTAAGGGGTGGTTTTTGACTTCTGCTTTTAGATTATTTTCTAATTTATAATATATTGCACAAAACGTCCAAGATCAAATGGATGTTCATTCTTTTTTTGTCAAGCAAATATATATTTTTAATCCCTCATTGGCTAATGATCAACAGACATGTAAAAACTAGTGCTATTATAACTCCCAATTTGTTATGTACATGATGAAGAATGGCATGGATCAGTAGGAAATATCATTCTCGCACAATTGGTTAGTTGTACAATAGCAAGTATTATGGTCAATAGTCTTCGATGAAAGAAACATAACAAATACGAAAATAATTAGAACAATCAATATTCGTGATGCAAGCACATTGTTGTATTAGATCCAAAGGTTCTTTCTTAACCTATCTACAAGGATGGAACTCTATTGCATTGTATTAGATCCATTGCATTGTAAAAATGATTTTGTGCTTACTCGATCCCCGGTTGTGATCACACTACTACAGATTAGCCATAACCATTTGATGAATTAACTACTCACAACGAATGTGCTATGCGGTGTTGACTGTATTCCATGTCAATACAATCATGTTGGATTCACGTAGTGCCACATCATGGTCTCAAGATGATTTATAGTGCAAAGTACACCGTCAAATTGCCGTATTATCCCACAATACGTACTTGCTTGCATCCTTCATAATTACACATTCAAGAGAATATTTCATGCAACACCATCTTTAGGTGCTCTAACTCCCCCCCCCCCCCCAAATAAGTGGGGAAAATTTAAAATAAAGGGAATAAAATAAGGGGAAATTAGAATTCTGTGCTAACTTCTAAAAAAATTATAATTGCATGAAAAAGTTAAACAATTTAAGTATTAAAAGTTATAAATTTTATCATTAATCTGTAATTTTTTTTAAACCTACTCTATATTGTTCTTTTCCCTTAAAACAATTGGATCCAAGTGCTAGACGGGTGTTTACATAGTAACATGTGCCCCTATCTCCTTGATGTAATTTTTTGCATAAGACTAAAATAGTAGGTGGCATTACTCTCTAATTAATGCATTTATGAAGATTTCTTGAATTTCTCGACGAATTCCTTGAGGCTGCGCTCTTTGTAGAGGTCGGTGGAAAGAGATCTGATGGCATTGGAATTGAGTTGGGGTGGTATGGAGAGAGGGAGAGAGAAAAGAGATCTGATGGCATTGGAATTGAGTTGGGGTGGTGTGGAGAGAGAGAGAGAGAGAGAGAGAGAGAGAGAGGGGGGGAGAGAAGTGGTGAAAATCCGGTGGATAAGGCGTAAGAGAGAAGACATGATTCTAGTCAATGAAGAGGTATTGAGCTAATGAGGTTTGTGGTTGCAAGTGTTTATTGTTTGGGAGTTTTGTAGAGGTTTGGGTTCATTTGGTTTAGTTTTAAAATTATGATTTAAGTGTACAGTTCTATTTTAAGTTTTGAGTTTTTGAATCATGATTTGAAAAAAAAATTTGTTTGGTTATGAGTTTTGAAAATAGTTTTGGAATGATTTATAATTTTTTTTTTTTGATTGATTGATGTATAGAATATGAGATGATGTGAGAGGAGAGATGAGAGAGAAAAAATGATTGATTAATAATAATAATAATAATAAAAGAGAAGAGAGAAGTTTTTAAATTAATTTTGAATTGTATTTTAAAATTTTAGTTGGTTATGCGTTTTGATCTAAATTATGATTTAAAAACAGAGTTGAGCTTTGAAAGTAAACCAAACGCTATGGGTAGTTTTGTTAATAAGAGTAAAAGGGTAAATTATAGGATCCCTTAGGTTTCTACCTAATTTAAAAGTGAAAATTAGGAAGTAGAAATTAAAAACACCTCTCTCCTAATTTTTAAATAATTATTTTTTTCAACTTAGTTAAGTTATCTTTACTTAAGAAGCTATATCAAACAATACTAATGATTAATTTTATTTTTATATTTGATTTTTGACGTGGAATTGTAGATACAACTTTTTTTGACAAGTATGGAAGATATTATTTTTATGTCTCCGTCCTTATAATTGTTCGTAAAAATTATGTTTTTGGCATGATACATATCTAAAATTTGGCGTGGTATAGATTATCATTGGTCATAGTACAAATTAGTTTTTGGGGCAGTACGGATAAATTTTTGGTATGGCATAGATTACTCT